AGCATAATCGGGGGGGGGGGGTTAATGCCCCCCTGCCCTACCCAAACGATGTCCTTAAATACCATTGTTACGATACAGCAACACGTGGCTACTCCATAATAGCAACTTGAAACTATAATATAATTTTCAGCTATACGGACAATAATAATATTTATACTCTCACAAACAATGATATTTAGTCTTTAACAACCTTTTCATAGATTCTGCATTATCAAATTTAAGTGTAAAAACTTTTTAATTGGTTAATTAACAAGCTAAACATGAACATAATTTTGGGGGGGGGGGGGAGGTAGGGGGTTATAAAATGTTGACATAATTAAATAGGTGGGTAGTCGAAAGTTTGACAGGTTTTTACAAGGGGAAGGGGGAGGGGTTCAAGAATTGTTGACGTCATTAATGGATGACCCCTTTGCTATATCTAATTCGGCTTTTTCCTGTCTTAGCTGTGCACATCAGCTCTTAGAACTACAAAAAACATTTTTTAACGGGTACTTATGTAAATGGGATATTATCAGTGGTGTCACTGAGTTTGGCTCACCCCCCCCCTCCCCACCGGTGGTGCGGTGAGCTCATGATGTCACCCCCTGGCCAGTGTGTGTGTGTGTGTGAAATCTTAAGTGTACTTCCAAACATGTTTCTTAAACCACAACTCGTAGCAAAATGCAATCAGCATTCCACACCCACCCCCACCCCCCAGTGAGGCGACTGGATACAAGCAAACAAACAACTTACATAGGCATGAATGGAAAATGGGACAGTGTCCGAATCCACAGACGGGGGTCACCTCGACGCACCAGAGGCCAACTGGACATGGTTTGGTCTATGGGAAGATAGGTCACACGTTGTGTTACTGCCGAATCGTACGAATCCTTTCGTATTATTTTATCATTTTTATTTTAAAACTAAAATAAGATGTTAAACAAAATACTCAATTTATATTCCCATACCAAGATCAAAAAGGTGTTTGTTTTGTGTGACAAACCAATAATGTGTTTGTTTTATGTGACAAATCAAAAAAATGTGTTTGTTTTGTGTGACAAACCAATTAATGTGTTTGTTTTGTGTGACAAACCAATAAATGTGTTTGTTTTGTGTGACAAACCAATAAATGTATTTGTTTTGTGTGTAAAATCAATAAATGTATTTGTTTTGTGTGACAAACCAATAAATGTGTTTGTTTTGTGTGAAAAACCATATAAATGTGTTTGTTTTGTGTGACAAACCAATAAATGTGTTTGTTTTGTGTGACACAACTTACTACTGGCTGCATTTCTTCAAAATCGTGCCCTCTCAATCTTAAAGTCTATAGTTGCTATATCTCTGATTGGTTCTTTGTCTTTTATTAATGATCTGAGGCCCACTCGAACTTACCAAGACAACATTTTTTTTTTTTTTAAATTCCAGTGACACTAAAGTTGAGCTAGAAAAAAAAACGGATACTATTTTGGGGCCTCGGTTAGATAAGTCCTGTCTAACTTACTTGTGATGCAAACTCTTGCATGTGAGAAGAGACATAATTCCTTTTAGCTAAGTCCTGTCTAACTTACTTGTGATGCAAACTCTTGCATGTGAGAAGAGACATAATTCCTTTTAGCTAAGTCCTGTCTAACTTACTTGTGATCCAAACTCTTGCATGTGAGAAGAGACATAATTCCTTTTAGCTTAGTCCTGTCTAACTTACTTGTGATGCAAACTCTTGCATGTGAGAAGAGACATAATTCCTTTTAGCTAAGTCCTGTCTAACTTACTTGTGATGCAAACTCTTGCATGTGAGAAGAGACATAATTCCTTTTATCTAAGTCCTGTCTAACTTACTTGTGATGCAAACTCTTGCATGTGAGAAGAGACATAATTCCTTTTAGCTTAGTCCTGTCTAACTTACTTGTGATGCAAACTCTTGCATGTGAGAAGAGACATAATTCCTTTTAGCTTAGTCCTGTCTAACTAACTTGTGATGCAAACTCTTGCATGTGAGAAGAGACAAAATTCCTTTTAGCTTAGTCCTGTCTAACTTACTTGTGATGCAAACTCTTGCATGTGAGAAGAGACATAATTCCTTTTAGCTTTATTTACTGACGTACCATTTTTAATGTTAAATTCTGTTTGAGATACATTCCTTGAACGATGAGATCATGAAAACCACACTGGACATTAGTATCAATGGATGCTAATACATGAATATGTTTGAGGGTTACTTTAAATAACGCATTTATATTGTCCTTTGAGCTCTCCCGTATCGTAATGATTGATAACTGTAGCCAAATTCATGCGCCGATTCTATCAGTCATTGCGTAAGGACTTAAGCCCCTTCAAAATCTTTTTTTCTTTCTACTTTACTACGAAACATGAAGAGTTAGTGGAGATAAATATATTTATTTTGTTTAAATACGACTAATCACATCCTATTTTTGTTCCTTTTTTTTTGTTAATGAAAAGTTCTAAAGAACCACATGGGCAGTATCGTGTACCCATTGGACAATGCCGAGTACATACTTGAACAGTGCTCAGGATTTACTTGTACACTGTCGAGTACATATTTGTACCGCTATGAGAAGATAATTGTACGATGATAAGTAACCATTTGCACATTACTGAATACCTACTACAGAGATGAGTAACTGCTTGTACAGGGATGAGTACCTACTTGTAAGTTAAATAGTACCTTCTTCCACGTTTCTGCGTTTAGTAAATTATTTCCTCAAACTAACCCATTTCTGCTCTCAGTTCCAACCTAATCTACTTTGCTCTTGATCTTAGCTACCTACTAATTAAAAATTGTTGGAACACTTGTTCGGCTCACAAATTAATTACCTTACTAATAATAGTAGAATGTCTGGAAGACATCCGGCTAGGTACAACAACAAAAAAAACTAATTTATTTTCGGGGGGAAAACAGAGCGATTTGTTTGGTTTCCACTTATCATTGGTCACATGCGTCTCCAAGGCTAAGTTAAAATGTATTGGATGCCGATTCAATAAATTGAAAATAAATAAATTTTTCAGATTAAAAGTATGCAATTGTTTGTAAACGTATATATTATTAGTTACGTTTTAATTTGCCCTACTTAACTGACATAAATCGAGTAAGGAAAAGGTAAAAAAAAAATGGATTTCGGAGCCATCCCTACTCGTCATGGGCAAGCTACTATGTTTGACAAATATTTGGACGTACCCCATGACCAACATCGTCGTGGATTGCATCTACAATGCAGTTACAGGGAGATAATTGCGCAGGCGATCAATGAATTAAATCATTAGCCTCCCTTATTTGGTTTCTTTAAAATCAGTCCAGTCCATTTTTACAGTCCAGTTATGAGCCAAAATAGTTGCGCGTAATTATTATTTCTTACTAGTTACAGGCCGACATAAAAAATGGCAGTAGCAATGCGTGAACTCCCCATCTAGTAAAGTTACTTTATGGAACATGCTTTTAAGTAAAGCACTGTATAAGAATCCCAATGAGTGCCGCCACCGCCACCCCTAGTACGCCACTGTGCATCTTGTTTTCACGCCCTAGAACTGTATTCATATTCCTAAAGTCAACCCCACATAATACCACAGATTTACTACAACATATTTAAATTGAGACCATTTCCGAAAAACAAAACCAAAAATATTACGCACTTGCGGTATTTTTAAGAATCTCATTTAGCGCAGTTATCGGGAATTTCCATTTAGCGCGCCATTGAACTCACCATTGCACCACACATAGCCAGAGAATTATATGTATTGTTAATAATAAAAAGATTTTAAAATACTTACGCAACTGTTAGATAGGCGCATGTCTTGAACTCGATTCCGGGAGACTCCCTGAAAAACTAAGAGATTTGGCAGGCACAACTGAAAAATACAATTGTTATGTGGTAAAAAAACTTTGTTTTTTAAATTAATGAAAATTAGTATTGTATTTTTTTTAAAATGATAGCAACTTTAAATTTTTATATAAATATGTGCCCATTGTTTTGAACAGATTTCCTGAATTTTTGTCCTCACATACTCACTGTTAAGGATTTAGGAAAGCATGCTTAATGAATCTATCTGTCTACTTCTAATATAGAATTTAAAAAGATGCATAGAATTAATCAAATATTATTGCTGATACCACAGCGAAGTAACCATCATCTAATAAAATACACATGAGAACAGGTTTCAAAGAGAAAAAAAAGCAAATGTCAATAAATAGAAGCATAGACAGTAATTTTTTTTTTTTTTAAATTTTATCAAAAATTTGTGTAACGCTATTTCTGGTAATAAAATATGGACTCTTATATAAAATTTAACAACGATAATAACTGGGGGGAAATATATGTATGTCATGAATTTAAGTGTGCTAAATAGTACGGTAACCCAGGGAGACGAAGTCACAGACATGTAAAATCAATTAAACGAGCTGTAGTAATCGGCAAAATATTGATACAACTTATCAGCTACAAGCCAAACAGGAAATATAACCACCAGGTAAACAAATATCATGTTTCTAAAATATTGGCATCCCTTGAGAACTTAACGCAGTTGCGGAAGTGTGTGTGTTGGAAAAAAAAAGGGGGGGGGGCGGGGGCTGTCCCCAGAGCTAGGCTAAGAAGTCGTAAAAATCGTATTAGCATAAAGTCAAATGAATGCCCTGGGCATAATATTATGTTCTCCTGTCAAAGATTTCGATACAAGAAACAGCAATCTCTGAAATAGAAAATAAGTGGTTATCAGAGCAGTACAGTTTGAGAACCGCTCTTTTTGGATCCTCTAAATTCTGGGGAAACAAATCAATAAACAGGACTGAGCCGTCTTGACTACCCGCCTAAACTCAGCACACTTCAGAAAAGAAAACATCTCCTTTAGTTTTTTTAATATTTTCTCGAAAGATAACTTGTGTTCAATAAAAACTGATAATTGGTGAACAATTTGTGTTGCTAGAACTCTTGGTTTAGAATTGGGGAAAGCGCGCATACATCCATATTTGGAATTAGAAATTAGCTATCGCGCTGCACGGTGCGCTCAAGTTTATGAACGCTTCTCTGGACGCAAAATATTGGCAGCCATGTTTGTCGACAGACAAAGTCACTACATGGCGAGCGTGCCTCCTGACTAGCTTCCTTCTTTACGTTCGCCACCGTTTCTGCCAACGATAAGATGGCTGGCGATGCGGATCGGAAATCGTCCAGCAAGTTGCCTTCACTTACTTCTAAACACACTCAGGTGAGATTATCGTTGATTAATTACCATTGACAAGGGCTTAGAAGTGGAAGACGGCTTAGGTGAGATTGTCTCAGAACTAACATAAAATAAGTGATGAGCGCTACGACTACGACCGCTTAACTTATAAAGAATTTTTTTTTGTTCGAGGAGAAAGGTAAAGGCAATCGTTCACAACTCGGTAGTCACGTAGCAATCGTCCACAACCCGGGAATCTCGTAGCAATCATTCACAACCCGGGAATCTCGTAGCAATCGTTAATAACCCAGGAATCTCGTAGCAATCGTTCACAACCCAGGAATCTCGTAGCCTAATCTTCTGACAGCACGCTGACGTCAGAACATGGTGATTCATTTTCAGTTTTAGAAACACACAAGAATGTACTTTATTTTATAGAATATAATGTGAACAAGGATACATGAAATATACATATAAATAAATGAATACAGGTATTACTATCTAAATCTCACAGTAATATAAACAATACTATAATCACAAGTCTAAGCTCCTGGAATTACTATTTCTGCTAACTATTGAATGGCCCCATCTAGTACTCAGCAAATGCAACGGCAAGCTAGCCACGCATCAATGTGCTCATCTCGCGGCTCTCCCTTCTTTGTAGGGGGGGGGGGGGTTGCACCCAGTCTTCTACTGATCGTTTCGTGTTGCTTGACCTCAGTGTTGGTCAATGTTCGGTTGATAGACGTTGGTCGTGCCAACGACGTGTCCCCTTAACTGGAGAGTGGTAAGCTGATACGGTTAGGTTAATGGGGTGCCGTACATATAGAAAAATGGCCCTACCTTGTACTTATAACACCATTGACAATTGTAATTGTATTTCGTTCACTCTCTACTCCCCACCAGTTCATCCGCCCACGAAAAACTGTGGATGATGAGCCGCCGTTGAACCTTCGGATCATGCACGGCAGGCGCCACTTCAACATAGTGCTCAAAATAGCCGACAATGAGCACGGGGACCGCATCACCATGCGCCACCTGGCGGAGATGATCACCTGCGAGACGGGGATTCGACCCCGAGATCAACAGTTCTACTTCAAGAATCTCACTTGGCGCAACCCTGACATGGGGCCCTGGTCCCCGGCCCTCAGAGACATGGGATTCAAAAATGGAGATAAGTAAGTATGGACCGAATGGCCCCACCCCCGCCCCCTACCCCTTAAAACAACGGGATGTAACATGCAGTCGATAAATGAAGATACCGCCAAATATCAAAGGACCGACAGATAGCTTCTTAGGATGTGGTAAAAAAAAAATTTAAACACAAAAAAATATTTTTGTTTCCTAAGGCTTGTTTCAACTCCAAAGTCTTGTATCGACTCCAAATATGAAGTTTGCATAAGACGCTGGCAACAATCTCGGATTCCTGTCTAAAAGAAATTGTAAATCATTTGTTTATTCCCATCCCCAGAATCCAACTGGTCACATTCCACCAGCCATACCCCGACTGGGAAGAGATGAACACGCTGGAGTCACTAGAGAAGGAAGTCAATAAAGCTGACGGTAACCTTAGGAGACTGTTCTACAATCTTCAAGGGGTCAGTTCTTTAGACTTCTGTGATTCAAAGTATGAGAAAGTCCTGAAAATAATGATTCAACATAGTGGGAAATAATTGTAAAAAAATATTTTGTATTATCCATTCGTAAACATCCACACATCTTCTTATCTAAATGTATGTTTAATCCAAGGGGATACATCCACGAAATTTCTTATTTTTCAATCAGGTGCACGAAGGATTCGTCCAAGGCAACAATCAACTGATGGCCTTGACCTGCTTGAAACGAAGTTTCGAGGACCTCAAGGAAAAGCTCATGGAAAAGTTAAAGGTGTCCTATATGTTGCAGTTGTTATTTCAAAACATCCCGTGTCTTTGGAATTTTTTTTTTTAAATGTCTAAATGTGTAGGTCATACATCTGTGAACAGGACGTACCCAAGACTTAAGATTTAAAAAAAAAACGCCCATGCTGCCAGTATCCACTGAGAAGTCAACATGACTCTAAGTTAACTCTCATATCCATTAACTAATTGAGATGGTATGTACCAGCAGATCTTTCTCATCATAAAGATCCGTCAATTATGAAGTACATTTATCAAAAAAATTACATGGATGATTATTTGGAAAGTTAACTTTCAGAAAGGAAATTTATTGAAATTAACTAGAGATAAAGTCTAAGCCAGTTGAAGGATTATTTTAATTATGCGTAAATGATAGCAGAACAGCACCGGGCTGACCACAGGGCACCACTTCCTACAACATCCGGCTGAACTGCACATCGGGTTTGGTCATTTGGCGCGTGTAGTCTCATACTGTTCTCTTCACGAAACCTTCAATCTAAATTCTAATATTTCATGAAGTTAAAATAATACAATGTATTCAATAACTTGATTTTTTTTTTTTCGTCAGGCTTTAAACTCGATCAACTTTGACCACCGCAACGTGCTGGGTCAGGCCAAACGCCGCGAGCTGGTGGACCACGCGCAGCGGCAGATCGACAAGTGCACCGACGTCTCCACCACCATCTTCCACAAACTGGCGCAGGCGCACTACGCCTCCAACGTGGGGAGGGTCTTTCCCCGAGACCAGCGGCTCTTTCCGTCCCAGAATAAATGGCGCAACAGCTTGATCCTCTAGAAGATGTGTGTGTGTGTGTGCCTTCATCTCTTAAAATAATGTCAAAATGTGGCAATGTTTTTATTTTTTTTCAAAACTGTTTGGGGTTACGTTGCATTCTATACTGCTAGGCTTTAATCGGTGACGAATTCTTTCTATGCCCACCCCCCACCTCCCCTTTTTTTTTGATCTGCCCTATTAAGGTGTATCAGATCTGCCCTATCAAGGTGTATCAGATCTGCCCTATCAAGGTGTATCAGATCTGCCCTATCAAGGTGTATCAGATCTGCCCTATTAAGGTGTATCAGATCTGCCCTATTAAGGTGTATCAGATCTGCCCTATCAAGGTGTATCAGATCTGCCCTATCAAGGTGTATCAGATCTGCCCTATTAAGGTGTATCAGATCTGCCCTATCAAGGTGTACCAGATCTGCCCTATTAAGGTGTATCAAATTTTTATTAACAAATCTTGCTTTGTTTATCCCTACTGTTTCTTTTTTTTATTTAAAGAAAAAATTATTAATTTTTTTTTATTTTTGTAAATCTACCACAATGTTTATAAACAATTTTGTATTACGAAGATCAGAATATTTATTTTTTTGAAAAAACTTAAATAGATTGAAATTCTCTATTTATACATTTCATACACATTTACCGTTAAAAACACAATAAAGGACCTTAATGAATTTTAAAAAAAAACAACATATATTACATTTTCTTTATTACCTTTATTTTGTTGTCTTCACGAATTCTTTACTGACTTATTATTATTCCTCAATTATTTATAAGACAAGAAATGTTTATAAGACAAGAAATATTTATAAGACAAGAAAAGTCTACGAGACAACACCCTTTCATATTTGTTAAAATATTATGAACTAGATATAGCCCGTCAAATATTGGCGACAGCAATACGTGAACTTCCCATCAACTAAAGTTACTTGACAAACCAACAACTCAAGTAACGCACATTTAAGAATCCCAATTTTCGCTACACCTCGTCCGCCCATGATGCGTCACGGCACACTTTTTATTTCACGTCCACGGACTCTATTAAATATTCTGATGTCCCAACGACTTTTAAACCGAATATTTTTTTACACCATGCTTAAGACGATTTCATTTTCCGAAAAGAAAATATTACGCACCAAACGCAGTTGCGTTATTAAAAAAAAATCATTTAGCGTAGTTATCGGGAATTATATTTTGCGCACTATTGAACACATTATTGAAACATACTTTCTTTCAACTTTCAAACATATAGAATTATTTGTAATATACTCTTAATACCAAATACGTTGAATAGGAAGCAGCCAGAAATGGAAGCAATCCACGAGTCACACCAGAAGCGTAATATATATATACGAGATTCGAGGAAAAAGTGAAGGCAATATCATTATACAGCGTAAAAACAATGTTATTTTTTTTTTACTTACTTTTATGCACAGTAATTAACACAAACACACACACACACACACACACACACACACACACACACACACACGACTTAAATATCTTGTTCAAATTGGAAAAAAAGAACTCGACCATGTTCAATCCAAACTTTTTTAAAAAAATGATTTGTTTAATTACAGTGGTAATCATTGCACAAGTCTGCTCACAAACTATCCTCATAAGTCTTGTAAAAAAACAAAACAAAAAACAAAAACAAAAAAACATCACCTCAAAATAATTCCCGCCTTATCTCTGGAACGAACGCTAACAGGAATAACGGCAGGAAACAGCGTGGCACTTCGAGAATAACGGCAGGAAACAGCGTGGCACTTCGAGAATAACGGCAGGAAACAGCGTGGCACTTCGAGAATAACGGCAGGAAACAGCGTGGCACTTCGAGAATAACGGAAGGAAACAGCGTGGCACTTCGAGAATAACGGCAGGAAACAGCGTGGCACTTCGAGAATAACGGCAAGAAACAGCGTGGCACTTCGAGAATAACGGAAGGAAACAGCGTGGCACTTCGAGAATAACGGCAGGAAACAGCCTGGCACTTCGAGAATAACGACAGGAAACAGCCTGGCACTTCGAGAATAACGGCAGGAAACAGCGTGGCACTTCGATAATAACGGCAGAAACAGCGTGGCACTTCGAGAATAACGGCAGGAAACAGCCTGGCACTTCGAGAATAACGACAGGAAACAGCCTGGCACTTCGAGAATAACGGCAGGAAACAGCGTGGCACTTCGATAATAACGGCAAGAAACAGCGTGGCACTTCGAGAATAACGACAGTGACGTTAACCGAATTGGCCCAACAAACTCCGACACCAAGGAAGTTTCAAGCATCAAAACACGTTTTCAACAACTGATGAGCTAATCAAAACACGTTTTCAACCACTGATGAGCTAATCAAAACACGTTTTCAACCACTGATGAGCTAATCAAAACACGTTTTCAACCACTGATGAGCTAATCAAAACACGTTTTCAACCACTGATGAGCTAATCAAAACACGTTTTCAACCACTGATGAGCTAATCAAAACACGTTTTCAACCACTGATGAGCTAATCAAAACACGTTTTCAACCACTGATGAGCTAATCAAAACACGTTTTCAACCACTGATGAGCTAATCAAAACACGTTTTCAACCACTGATGAGCTAATCAAAACACGTTTTCAACCACTGATGAGCTAATCAAAACAACGCGTAGAGGCATATATTTAGGTGACCAATGTTTTTTAACGCAGTTTTTCTATGTGACATCGCCATGCTTCTTCACTCTAGTAAGAAGCCAATCTATTTCATTAGTGATTACGGAATCGAATCCATTCGAAGGATATTTTTATTTTAATAAAAAGCGAGTTTGATATTGCAATGAGATTTACATATTTCATTATTTTAATATTTTTTTTTAAAAAGAATTATATATTTGGATTTTTAATCACGTCTGAGTCAGGGACATTTCTAATTCATCGTAAGGCGCCAGTGACATGAACATTTCAGGCTTTCGGTTTAAAACACTCTCTTTGCTGGACACTTGCTGAAGGCTGTCCCACTTTCACATCTATACGTTGCCGTGGAAAATACTTTGAGTCAATTCAATCAAATTTTCACGCCATTAATTTCATTATTTGTTTTTTCGTCTTAAATCTCAGAATACACCCGCAGCTCTGCGAAGTTTTCCACTGATGACAGCTAGAGATATTCTTTATGGTGCAGAGGTTTATTATCAATTTTTGATACTCTATATTAAATTATTTAATTTATGAAAATATGACTTACATAAATAAATAGTAGATCTAGATGTTTTTTTGAGTTCCTATTCACTTTAACATCCAGCTACAATGACGTCACTGACATCTTCCAAAACATAAGTTGTTGTTGTTTTTTTTAATTTAAACATATCTGTTGTTTATTGTATTGTATTTTCTGCTGAAGAAGGCGTCTTGCCGAAACGTCCGCTTAATTGTCTTATATTTTATTTACTAGCCCAAACATATCTTGTTACACTATTTTTTTTTCAGTTTACATGTCTTGAACGCATATCACTCATATAGTATGCCAGAAATATTACATGTTTAAAGGAATTAGGGTTTTCGGGGGTCGGGGAAATGCAATTGTAAATTTGTTGAAATGAATTAGTTTTCCCTTTATTCACCACTTATTTCAAATGTACACAATCCATTAGTTAGTTCCTCGTCAATTTTGACGGCTTATTTCTGTTACAGAAGAAACGTTTTGGTAAATGCCACTATTTTTCCTCTTCTAACGTTAGGAGTGAAATTTTATCACAATCTGGAACTAAGACAAACGACGACCAAAAATAAACTGTACCAGAGATTTCCACACTTTTTTTTTTACGACATAATGAAACCAGAAAATTTCCCTACAGCTGACATGGTTTAACACCAGCAGGTACAATGCACTTACCACAATGAGCACCACCATCAAATATGTTCTCTGCATATCTCCACCTGGTCTGGCTGGCCTCACATTCACGGGGCGTAAGAGGAGATAGAGGCTCAGCATTCCTGACCGGTTGGTTGGTTTTTATACAAACTGTCAATTGTGTTTAGCGGGGAGTTTCAACGTTTCTGCGCCCTGGGGGAAGTTTTAAGGTTTCTGCGCCTGGGGAGGAGTAGTAAAGTTTCTCAGCCCTGCTGGGAGTTGTAAAATAAATTGTTCATTTTGTAACATTTTTCAGCCCTGGGGCGAATTGTAACTTTTTCAGCCCTGGGGGAATTTGTAACATTTTTCAGCCCGGGGGGGGGGATGGGGTGGAGCTGTAACGTTTCTCACCCTCTAGACCAGCAGAGTTCGAATACTTCCAAAACTCTTGGAGACGTAGGGAGCACCAAGGTCCTGATATATTTCAAACGTTTTGAATCCATTCTGGGGGGTGCCATCACGTGATATTTTGAACATTGGATAAGACGACATAATGAATAGACCTGCCGACCCATTCTAAATTGTTTCTTCTACTTAACCACCCACAATCTCGGGGCCGTTTAAGCCATTAGGAAAGACCAGGAGGCAGCCTAGGGCGCCAACATTTTAAGGGAGGCATAAGGGCGGAAATTGTATTATTTCAAAATATTAATTCAAACAGCGAAAATTTTGAGTAAATTAAGAGAGAAAAAAAGGAAATAGTGGAACAATTTTAAAAAGTAATCCCACTGTTCGATGCTAGTTCTTTTATATCTCATGCATTAATTCTTCAAGCATAAATGGGAGGGGGAGGGGGAAGAGATTAATGGTAGAAAAGGGAGGGGGTGGCTTTTCAATTCTCGCCTAGGGTGGAAAAACACGATTAAAACTTAGAAATGGCCCCGCCCCCCTAGAAAAAAAGGAAATAGTGGAACAATTTTAAAAAGTAATCCCACTGTTCGATGCTAGTTCTGTTATATCTCATGCATTAAATCTTCAAGCATAAAGGGGAGGGGGAGGGGGAAGAGATTAATGGTAGAAAAGGGAGGGGGTGGCTTTTCAATTCTCGCCTAGGGTGGAAAAACACGATTAAAACTTAGAAATGGCCCCGCCCCCCACCCTGCGCTCTTTATCACAGTCCCTGCTGAGAGTCCCCAGTGTGGACGGGGCAAAAAATGAGTCATACAGTGTGCGCTCTTTTGAAGCCATAACGCTTAAATTATGGAACAGTTTGCACTCGATCTTTGAGGGGAATTAAAAATCTAAAAAAAAATCATTGAAGAAACATTTAAATACTTTTTTCTTTAAATAGATTTTATGACACCAGAGCTTTGTGAGCATCCTAAATTAGCGTGGACACAAGCAGGGTCAACTTTACAGCAGCGGAGGCCCCAGGACATAGAAATAAAAAAAAAAATCAAATGTCTGAATCTGAACTTTGACCAGTTGTTGAAATACTTTGATATCCAGTAATGATAAATAATTTCAAGAAATGTTAAATAATGTCAAGACATGATATGAATAATGGCCAGAAATGAGAAATAATGGCCAGAAATGAGAAATAATGGCCAGAAATAATGGTCAGAAATGGAACACTTTTGATAATATCGTGATGAAAGAATTACTTTTTTTAAAAAATAATCAGCTGTGGCGACTTCAAACAGCATTGAAAGGTTATTTTTTTCCCCTAAGGTTTAATTTATTTTTCAAAAAAAAACAACTAAGGATACGTCTAGTGTAAACTGTATACTATATCGTATGGACATTACTTACCCAAAGACTATATTTAATTGTAGATCTGCTTATTATCGTGTA